CATTATCGCACTGTTGTATTAGCTGTCAAAAGCCAGAATGAGTTTATTAGAGCAAAGCGGCCTAGAGAGGTTATGAATCCACATTCAGAACTACGTTTTTTAAGATACACCATATGTTTAAGCAGCTTTGAGAATAGATGCAAACATAGCACCAAAAGAGGAGATAAACTAGAAAACCTCAAAACAGTTACTACCCATATACAGACAAAACTCAGTACCACAAATGTTGCCAATTCACAGAAGAGCGACATCAGTAGATTTAGTAGCCCTGAAGGATCTTCCACAGCTCACAGGAACAAACAAAAAACTCTGTTAGTTGCATGGATTTTAATGCCCATTCTGTCCTCCCCTGAGAGCTTCTTTTATGGGTTGTTTTTTGTTTGGTTGCTTTTTTTTTTGTTGCTTTTTTTTTTTATGTTGTCCAAATTCAGTTAGGTTTATTTCTTTTTACTGTGTTGGAGGAGATACATAATAGTGGCTAGTAACTTTCCTTCTCCACAAAAGGAAAGCAAATCTACATGTCAAAAGTCCCTTTCCAAACTGAGTTCCAATTTTCCCTTTGTCCAGTGTTCTGCTAGAAGTATTTTTTCCTTAAAAGACAACTTAATGTTTTCTTCTTAGAAGACATCTGAGGCTTTCATCTCGTCAGTATACAAGGATTAAAAAAAAAAAAAAAAAAATCAACCTTTTGAAAATGATTCCTTGAAAATAAGTGATAAAAAAAAAACAGGAAAAAAAAAAAGAAAAAAAGAGGGCAGGGAGAAAATACTTGTGAAGTAATTGCAGAAGAGAACCATACCTCTTTTAACCTAGCTTTTCTTCTGAATACATTGTGATCTGCTGACACACTACTAAGTGACTTTGAAGGGGACTGACCAGGTCTGCTAAGCCTTCCAGAACACCTGGATCTTCCACCCATCCTTGGTCGACCACGTCTCTTTGGTCGTCTGGGTCTTCCAGGTCCTTTTGGTGTTACGGGTCCCCGGTGTCCCGAATTGATTTCATTTTCTTGTTCTGCCATCAAGGTTCTGCTTTCTGCAGACTTGCAAGTCTTAATTAAGAGAAAGACAGAAGTATTTATTCACTATTTTGAACAGTGTTTTGAGGAATACAGTTTCATAATTAAGTTCATCTACGCAAAGAATAGAATATTAAATAAATGCAAAACTGGATACAAGGATAAATGCAAAGAAAGTTGTGGAATAAATCCAATGTTAGTAAGGCTGCTACTTCTGAAACACATATATGCCATTATTTGCAAAGTTAGCATTTTTGATCCACAAAATGTCATACAAAATACAGAGATTAAGGGAATATAGTTAAAGAGCTGGTTTATGTCGGTTAAATATGTTTACTTCAAAAATACTAAAGTATGTCCTCTTCAAAGGAGGTTGTAGAAATAATCAGCAGTAATTTACTGCTTAATTAGCAGTAAAACATACCCAAAGAAAAATTTGGATTTCATTGTAATTATGTCAAAGCATTAAGACTTTATATAAAGAAGACAAAAATTCTGAACAGCCATGAACAGTGACAAGTCTGATAACTAAAATTCAAAATATATTGCCGAGTTTCCACATTTCAAAATCTTTAGTCTTCCCTAAGAACAAGGGAAGACTAAAGCAGCAACTTCTGTTACGACTCAACATTTTCTATTTTTAAGTTATTGTGATTTCAGTGCAAAATTTTTTACTGATCCAAGCAGTGATTTCTTACTGAACACATCTCGTCTTCCCTTCCACGCTAGAATTTCTAAGAACATCCCAGTATTTTTTAAGAGAGTTTACAACAGTACTGAGGTCTATCAGGCTTCTTTTCAGAATCTGTACATTTTCATCCCAATATTCAGTAGCTCCCTACTATTGTAATGATTAGGAAAGTTCTAAAAAGGGCAAATTTATGTCAGTTCTATCCAGGGATTAAATTGCTAAATTAGTTCTAAATATGACATCAGACTCGGTTGTGAGGATCTTGATTGCCTTCCTGTCTGTACCAGTGTACCAGTTTTAATAATTCTATTTCTTCTAGAGAGTATTTACCTGCCCCAAAACTGTAACAAAATCAGGGAGTTAAACTGCAAATTTGTAGAACCCGTATTTGCCACCTATTAGTATTACTCATATTAAAAGTGGCAGGTACAATAGCAATCTAGCAGTCAGTAGCAGCATTACTTAAAAGACTGACTTTTTTCTAAATTCCCATAATCCTGGTGAAAATAAGTGCTGTACAGGGAAGTAACACCTACATAATAATACAGAGAGCAGACTTCAGTATTCAGCAATTCTCTTTTTCCAAAGATGACAGAAAATCGTAGAGGACAGGGGAGGCTTGTTTGCTGCACTGGCATCTTAAGCTGTAAATCTTCCCATTTCTGAGAACAACTTCACATTTACAGATAAAAGTAATAAATGTGACGCCGCTATATCTAAATGAGTATTTATTCCTGGGCAGCAGCTGTATCAGCTCTTGCTGCAAGACGTTAAGAGTCATTTTAATATTAAAACAGAAACTTTACTTTGAAGTGACCAGCTTAAAACATCACGGAAAAAAATTTGCAGCTAAAGTAGCTTCCAACCCAGAGACTCAAGTTTCAAAGTATCTGGTTTGCAGGGGTAGTTAAGCCACACTTTCAAAACCTGCTCTAGGAAAAGCTGTGGTCCAGTGCTGGATTCCAAACAAGTGTCATCACAGAAAAATCTCAGTAACAGAAATTTATAGAGCACACGATGTCTTGCTGTCTATCATGCTAAAGGCTGTAACTGAACAACACTGCATTCTTATCCAAATGCAGAGAAGGCAGCTATTTATGCAGACAAGGTTTTTTCAATCCATAAAATGTATGTCAGAAAATCAGTAACAAATGAACTCTGTGAACAATTTGTTTTATGTGCCTGTGGAAGCATACTATTCAATCTGCAACACTGCAAGAGACAATAATTTTATTTTTAAACCACTTTAATGGGAAATTAATTTATCAGTTGGTATTTCTGAACAGTACAAGACTATGTGGCTACAAAGCTTTCATTCTACTTTCCACAGAACTAACAGCTTTTCTGAGTAATACACCTTACCTGTTCTCCAGCCTTCGAATCAACAGTTTCTTCCAGATTGGTACCTAGTGCATTTTCATTATTTAAAGTGACAGCAGTTGAATCTAAATGCGCCGGACTCATCGTTTCCTCTCTTATTCCACGGGTATTGCCCACAAATATACTTCCATTAGGCTTATTTAAAGGTATTTTTTGAGGTGAAGACTCCAGCTGTCCATGGCCTGGGTTAAGTTTATAATGTCTTGCTAATCCTCCTTTTCCTATATAGGATTTTTCACAAGTCTGACACTTAAACATTTTGGGTTTCAGATTATAATTTGAAGAACTGAATAATGCATCCTTTCCCTTCACCTTCCCTTCTTCATCATCTTCTATACTCAGCTCAGAGTAGTCATCAGAATCAGACTGATGACCATCAGCCAAATCCTCCATTTTAATGAATTTATAATCTTTAGCTTTGTATTTGGGGGGGCGTGAAATCCGTCCAGAACGAGTTTTCACTTTCAAGGATTTTTTTAACTTGTCATCTTTTTGGTTTTTTTCAAGGCATGGTATCAGAGTATTTGCTGCACTGGCTGCAACCTTGGTAATGTTTGAAGACCTTGTAGCCGATACTGTGGCACGTGTAACTTTCTGTCCATTTAGCATCTTAGGTGGGGGAATCTTGTTCACAGACACCGATCCATGAGCTGGTAAAGGTCTCTGCATAAGCAACTGAATTGGAGACTCGGAAGAACTATGCAGGAATAGCTGCTGCTGCTGCTCAGTTCCTGTAACAGGCTGTATCCTAATTATCTGGGGATTAATAATGCCAAGTCCTGGTATGCTAGAATTTCTACCAACCGACTGACTCAGCGTTATAGTTTTGGGCTGGATTGGTGCCAATGATGGCATTGGCCTTTCAGTTTCCTTCATCTGTCCTGGCTGCATTTGGACACAAATGGCTTCCAGCTGCTTTTGTGGAAAAAAAGGAAGAGTTGAGATTACACAAATACAGTAGTTATAAATAAAGACAATACTTATTAAGATGATACACACATGCCCTTTAAAGGAAAGTGCAAAGAAACCAATGCACATCACTAGTTTTCCATTTCAACACATCAAAGCACAGATGCCCTTCCTTAAAGCTACGGGCTTTCCTGCACATTTACTGATGTGACTGCTGTTCAACTAAAGCATGTGAAGTTTGCTCTTCGGCCATGTCGCAGCCCTGTTTCCTGCTAGCAGCCCCGTTGTGGAATAGCAGGGTCAATGCCGTCACCTAGGGCGGATTCATAACCTTCAGCAAACCAAATGCAGGAGAACTGCTAAACGACACAGGCCGAATACCAGATCCAGGACATACCGTCCTAAGTTCTCTGTTGAAAAAGAACTTTGTGATGATGATTAAGAGGAGGTATGTGTTACCGTTCACCTCCCTCAATCTCCTCACCCAAACTTCTGCCTCAGCTCAAACCAATCGTTTGACAATCCCTGCACCCTAAAACGTGGGCCAAAAGCCCAGTTACTGTCACCTTATTTAAGAGAGGCACGCATTATCTACCAGTGCATCACCACTAAACCACTACGAAACTGCTCTTCCAAGCTGCTTTAGCTGCACGTGTAGTCACACCGACATACTGACCGCATCAGCTAGTTCTACGTTCAAACGCGGATTCTTCTAAACCACGCTGAAAGTTCTCTCAGCTGCGAGACTCGAGTCTACACCCCAAGGGCAGGTGTGACTGAGGAGGAAGGCAAAAAAATAAGATCTAAAAAATTACACCCCACCCCCGACCTGCCCGCGGCGGTGGATTTCATCACCAAGCGGGCGCCGCAGGCTCCCTCCCTCCTG